ATTATCTTATTATTTTGAAATCTAATCTAGTGACAAGAAGAGAGAGTTAGGGAACGACTTGTATACCAGAGGGGACTATTCTGCTGCTATCAACTGTTACCAAAGGTAAATTATCATGATTTGATTTGATTTTTTTAATTTTTCCCACTAGCGCAGGGACACTACACCAGCTTTTACCAATTACTGTGGTCCTTGTCGTTGGAATACATTATTGCGACAGGTGGTGCATTAGCAATGCACACCACAGTTCTTGATCAAGGGGAATTAAGGCTTTGAGTTCAAATTGTAAAGAGTTTGAGATACTAAAGTTTGAGCTTTATGTTTGTTAGACCTGGTCCCCCTCCCCTCCCTTCCCCTCCCCTCCCCTCCCCTCGGTATTTTCATGGCTGTAGTTACATTGTATTGTATCCACAGAGCAATCAAGTATCTGATGCCTTCATCTTCAGAGGTAAGAAAGGTGGTCACTTGATAATAGAAAAGATTTCCTATAACAATGCAAAGTACTTGGTAAAGCCATTCTGAAGTCGAAGGAAAATCTGGGTCCAGTTGGTATTAAAGTGCATTGTGGGACTGTTTTAGGGCACTGGGTCCTGTTGGCATTGAAGTGCATTGTGGGACTGTGTTAAAGCACTGGGTCCAGTTAGTATTGAAGTGCATTGTGGGACTGTTTTAGGACACTGGGTCTAGTTGGCATTAAAGTGCAGGTTTAGAGCGCATTCAATTTAAGAGCACACAACATGTGCATGTACTTTGCATTTAATCCCTTTAAATTGTATTTGTGTAAAAGAAACAAAAATCTTTGCTTTGATGTGAAGTTGGTTGCACTTGGGTTTTGGCAGAACTCTCCAGAAGTGTGTTGAGAAGAACTCTGACATGCACCATGCTTCTTTTAACCTGTATCCTTAACTGCTTAAAACAGAACATAGTCACATTTTCTGTTTCTTCACTAGTCTGTTAGAAAGAAAAAAATTTGAATGATGGTGCCCTGCCTTACAGCTTTCTATTTTCCTCTTTCAATCTTCTTTGATATTTCACATTATTTATTAGAAAGTTCAAGGTCTAAAGGTGAAGTGTTGGAATAACCTTGCTGCTGCACAGCTTAAGGTAAATATCTCTGGCACGGGCATCATCATTGCCATCATTATTATTATTCATTGTCACCATCAATCATTTTCATCATCAATCATTATCACCATCAATCATTTATATCATCATCAATCATTGTCATCATCAATCATTGTCATCAATCACTATCATCATCAATTATCACTATCAATCATTATCATGATCAATCATTATCATGATCAATCATTATCATGATCAATCATTATCATCATCAATCATTATCATGATCAATCATTGTCACCATCAGTCATTGTCATCATCACCATTGTCATCATAAATACATTGTCATCATCACCATTGTCATCATCATTATCATCATCATCAATCATCGTCATCATCATCACCTGCATACACTATTTTTATCTAGTGATCATACACTATTTTTATCATCATCATCATCATCATCATCATCA